AGAGCCTTCTCTATTGACTGCAGTGATCCCGCACCAGACACCTGGCAGGGCAGGGGTTGTTTTCATAGTCTTCCTTAATGCGGACAAGTCCTCCACGACGCAGAGAGCTGCATTAACTACACCAAGCCACACAGTAAGTTAAGTTGTGGGTGGAGTCAAAGTCAGGCCCGAGTCCCCAAGTCGAACTGCCACCACAGAAAACGATCTGTCCTCCCCAATATCCACATCCCATTAACTCAAGGCTGAAATGTTCCAGGCGCTCTGAGTCTGGGGAGAGCTGCCCAGTTGAGGCCTGGGGAGAGCAGCAGTTTCAAGGAGGCCAGCTTAGCACCCTGACCATAGCTGGCACCCTGGCCACACAAACCCCTTCCTTGATGCCAAGTAGTCAGCTCCTTTAAAGGACGTTACAGACTACTGGCCCAGTGACCAATGGCTTGGGGCATCCCTGGAAAGGAGCCATGAACTCCCACCTACAGGTGAAAGCAGACATAGACAACCCGGCAACAAGCAGGCACTTCTGTGTTCCTCTAAAACTCGATTTGCAAAAGCAGGCTGTTGGGCCATTGTTCTTTGACCGCTGCTCTAAACCAAGGCCAGTCATTGTCCTGCTGGATGAGAGCAACTGAAGGCTGCCATGTGCAGTCGGCAAAAGAGGAACTGCTGTGCAGCTGACACCACTTCCTCTCAGGCTACCCTCAGATAGCTGGTGGGACAGCTGATGGCCTGGGGTTAAGGTCCCGAAGCAAGCTCTTCTCACTCCTTCTCAGGACTTTCCAGCACTGACTCCCATGCAGGCTCAGGTTGGAGAGGCCTTCAAGTTAGGCCCCTTATAAAAAGGTGACCACAACATTCACTGGGAGTGAGCAACCTGCTATACTAGAGGGAGGGGTGGGGCTGCTCCCAGCACACAAGGGGACCATTCTCTGAGGTCCTAAACAAACCACAATGTATGGTCAGGTGAAGAACATGCCCAGAGGCACATCCTCAAGCAAAGTGTGAAATGACATGCACTGGTGTCTCGGAACACCCATCCATGGCCTCCGACAGGCTGGCACAGCTCTCATCAGTGTATGGGAAGCTCATAGGAATTCATCAAGCTAGCCTTTCGCCACTGATTTAGCTACAAGTGAACATAACCTGCCATTTCCACTCTAAGCCATCCCCACTTCTCTTGCCAAGCGGATTAAAAGATTGTATTTCTATCCACACACCCGTCACTTAACCCTGTCTGCCAAATTCCTTTCACTATCTTTCCAATCCTGAGACTCTTGCTAAGTACATCCAGAGTGAGCACAAGTGAAGAACTGCAAGGGACATATCATCAGAAGCACATTGACGGCCCCACCCCTCAAAGACTCATCTGACACAACAGAACCTGCAGCTCTGAAGCCAGGACAACGGGCCTGTCAGAGAACAAAAGCTCATGGGCAATCCGCAGTTTTCTCTAGGCCTGGCTCAGCTGCAGAGACCGAAGCCCCTCAAGTCTTACTTCATCTAAGTGGTTTCCCACCCCCAAGTAGTCATATTTCCTGTTGCCCTTTAACTCCTAAAGCATCTCCACAGTAAAGCAGGGGCTGATTCAGCTTTAAACAAAGTCTAACCTGTTTGGCAATGTCTATGTGCCAGGTACCATGGAATACAAAGACACATAACAGAAATGAATCACATGTCAAGTATTTATGAAGCACTTCCGGGAAGGAGTATTCCATTAGTGTGTCCCAAAGGGAACACAGGAGAGAAAAATGACCCAGGACAGCTGAAATGAATAACTAGACATAGGCCGGCTGGAGGAAGCCACGGGAGGAAGTGAGAATTCACACTTGAGCTATCTATAAAGAGAACGTCATGGCAGCAATGGGCCCAGAGTCAGAACTTGAGACAAGAGGGGAAGGGTTTGGGGCTTGGTGGGCAGTGGGTCCCGGGCTCAGTCCTGAGACGGGGAATGTGAAGACGTGGGCGGTGTGTGGGGGGCGGGACCAGTCACAGCCCACCTCCCCACCCTCCCTAACAACCTGTGTTGACTTCTTATAAAGCACTCCTCCTGAAAATATCCTGTAACTCCATCTCTCCCACAGACTGAACTCTCCACCAGACATTCTGCGTTTACCAGCAAGTCAGTGAACGCTAAACCCATCACCTTCCTGAAGGTCCCAGGTCTGC